GATTTAAACCTGGGACCTCTCGCACCCTGAGCGAGAATCATAGCTTTAGACCAACGAGCTATGGAACGAGGGTTTTATTTGCTGTGCAAAGTGGAAACAAAACTACAGATGCAACAACGGTTGAAAGGTAATTAAAGCTGGGCTCGTCCAGGATTTGAACCCGGGACCTCTTACACCCAAAGCAAGAATCATACCCCTAGACCAACGAGCCATGGAACATGGATTTTCTTTTGGTGTGCAATGTGGAAACAAAACTACAGATGCAACAAGGTTTGAAAATTTAGTTGTTGAACCATAATGAAAGCTGGGCTCGTCTAGGATTTGAACCCAGGACCTCTCGCATCATAAGCGAGAATCATACCCCTAGACCAACGAGCCATGGAACATAGGAATTCTTTTGGTGTGCAATGTGGAAACAAATCTACAGATGCAACAAGGGTGAAAAATTTAGGTGTTGAACCATAATTAAAGCTGGGCTTGTCCGGGATTTGAACCCGGGACCTCTCGCACTCAAAGCGAGAATCATACCCCTAGACCAGCCATGGAACATGTGGTTTCTTTTGGTGTGCAATGTGGAAACAAAACTACAGATGCAACAAGGTTGGAAAATATAGTTGTTGAACCATAATGAAAGCTGGGCTCGTCCAGGATTTGAACCCGGGACCTCTCGCACCCAAAGCGAGAATCATACCCTAGAACAACGAGCCATGGAACCTGGGTTTTATTTGGTGTGCAAAGTGGAAACAAAACTACAGATGCAACAAGGTTGTAAAATTTAGTTGTTGAACCATAATTAAAGCTGGGCTCAACAAGGATTTGAACCTGGGACCTCTCGCACCTAAAGTGAGAATCATACCCCTAGACCAACGAGCCATGGAACATGTGTTTTCTTTTGGTGTGCAATGTGGAAACAAAACTACAGATGCAACAAGGTTGGAATATATAGTTGTTGAACCATAATGAAAGCTGGGCTCGTCCGGGATTTGAACCCGGGACCTCTCGCACCCAAAGCAAGAATCATACCCCTAGACCAACGAGCCATGGAACCTTGGTTTTATTTGGTGTGCAAAGTGGAAACAAAACTACAGATGCAACAAGAGTGGAAAATTTAGTTGTTGAACCATAATGCAAGCTGGGCTCGTCCGGGAATTAAACTCGTGACCTCTCGGACCCTAAGCGAGAATCATACCCCTAGACCAACGAGCCATGGAACCTGGGTTTTATTTGGTGTGCAAAGTGGAAACAAAACTACAGATGCAACAAGGGTGAAAAATTTAGGTGTTGAACCATAATTAAAGCTGGGCTCGTCCAGGATTTGAACCCGCGACCTCTCGAACTGTAAGCGAGAATCGTACCCCTAGACCAACGAGCTATGTTGTATTGGTTTTATTTGCTGTGCAAAATGCAAAAAAACTACAGATCCAACAAGGGTGGAAAATTTAGGTGTTGAACCATAATTAAAGCTGGGCTCGTCTAGGATTTGAACCCGGGACCTCTCGCACTCAAAGCGAGAATCAAACCCCTAGACCAACGAGCCTAGGTGTATGGGTTTTTATTTGTTGTGCAAAGTGGAAAGAAAACTACAAATGCAACAAGAGTGGAAAATTTAGTTGTTGAACCATAATGAAAGCTGGGCTCGTCCAGGATTTGAACCCGGGACCTCTCGCACCCGAAGCAAGAATCATACCCCTAGACCAACGAGCCATGGAACATGGGTTTTTTTTTGGTGTGCAATGTGGAAACAAAACTACTGATGCAAAACACATGGAAAATATATGTGTTGAACCAAAATTAAAGCTGGACTCGTCCTGGATTTGAACCCGGGACCTCTCGGACCCTAAGCAAGAATCATACCCCTAGACCAACGAGCCATGGAACCTGGGTTTTATTTGGTGTGCAAAGTGGAAACAAAACTACAGATGCAACAAGGGTGGAAAATGTATTTTTTGAACCATGAGGAAAGCTGGGCTCATCCAGGATTTGAACCCGGGACCTCTCGCACTCTAAGCAAGAGTCATACACCTAGACCAACGAGCCATGGAACTTAGTTTTTATTTGGTGTGCAAAGTGGAAAGAAAACTACAGATGCAAAAAGAGTGGAAAATTTAGGTGTTAAACCATATTTAAAGTTTGCACACCCGGGATTTGAACCCGGGACTTGAACCCAGGACCTCTCGCACTCAAAGCGAGAATCATATCCCTAGACCAACGAGCCATGGTGTATGGGTTTTATTTGATGTGCCAAAGTGGAAACAAAACTACAGATGCAACAAGGTTGGAAAATTTAGTTGTTGAACCATAATTTAAGCTGGGCTCAACAAGGATTTGAACCCAGGACCTCTCGCACCCAAAGCGAGAATCATACCCCTAGACCAACGAGCCATGGAACACAGGTTTTCTTTTGGTGTGCAATGTGGAAACAAAACTACAGATGCAACAAGGTTGGAAAATTTAGTTGTTGAACCATAATGAAAGCTGGGCTCGTCCGGGATTTGAACCTGGGACCTCTCGCACCCGAAGCAAGAGTCATACCCCTAGACCAACGAGCCATGGAACCTGGGTTTTATTTGGTGTGCAAAGTGGAAACAAAACTACAGATGCAACAAGGGTGGAAAATGTATTTGTTGAACCATGAGGAAAGCTGGGCTCATCCGGGATTTGAACCCGGGACCTCTCGCTCCCACAGCGAGAATCATACCCCTAGACCAACGAGCCATGGAACTTGGGTTTTATTTGGTGTGCAAAGTGGAAACAAAACTACAGATGCAACAAGGGTGGAAAATGTATTTGTTGAACCATGAGCAAAGCTGGGCTCATCCGGGATTTGAACCCCGGACCTCTCGCACCCAAAGCGAGAATCATACCCCTAGACCACCAGCCATGAAACCTGAGTTTTATTTGGTGTGCAAAGTGGAAACAAAACTACAGATGCAACAAGGGTGGTAAATCTATTTGTTGACCCATGAGGAAAGCTGCGCTCATCTGGGATTTGAACCCAGGACCTCTCGCACCCAAAGCGAGAATCATACCCCTAGACCAACGAGCCATGGAACCTGGGTTTTATTTGGTGTTCAAAGTGGAAACAAAACTACAGATGCAACAAGGGTGGAATTTGATGTGCCAAAGTGGAAACAAAACGACAGATGCAACAAGGTTGGAAAATTTAGTTGTTGAACCATAATTAAAGCTGGGCTCAACAAGGATTTGAACCCGGGACCTCTCGCACCTACAGCGAGAATCATACCCCTAGACCAACGAGCCATGGAACATGTGTTTTCTTTTGGTGTGCAATGTGGAAACAAAACTACAGATGCAACAAGGTTGGAAAATGTATTTGTTGAACCATGAGGAAAGCTGGGC